TATTTTTTTCTCTCTTTCTATTTCTATTCTAACCTACTTTACAAATTCTTCTATAATTTTAAGGTGAGAGAATTATGATAATGTCAATCATGATTTTCAGGCAAAATGACCATGCAGACTCTTCTCAATATAGCTTAGGGAATTACCATTAATGTTCCAGCAGTATTTAGCTTGATAAACCATAAAACAAATCTATCAAAATTCAACTGTATTTAATAACAAACAGTTGATAAGGAAAATGATAGTAGACAGGTTTGCCTATTGCATGGTTCAAACTCCTTCCCTGTCTAATGAACAAGAGTATAGGTTTATCCCTTGTTTCTTGTTTAGGATTGGGTTTCCGGTCCCTTCAAAGTCTATTTCAACCCTATACTTCTAATGTCTCTGAATGAGCTCTGAAATTTAATTCATTAATTATTTATTTTTTTGTTTTTCTTCTCTCCCAATAGGAGTAGATAGGTTCTCTTTCCTGGTCTTTTGAACAGGAGTAGAGGTTTATCCCTTGTTTCCTGTTTAGGATTGGTTTTCTGTTTCCTTCTAAAGTCTTCTCATTCTCTTTCACTCTCAGTGGCATCTTAGTGGCATTATCACCTTGCTTGGGGGGGAAATGATTAAAAAAAGAAATCCTGGAACAGTGGATTCTTAAATTTTCTGGAGTCAGTCAAAACTGAGTTTCTTGGACCTGTAACCAACAAAAAACTAAACAGTATTTTAAAAAAAACTGTTTGCATTATCTAACTTACGGCTTTTCATCTTTTTTATATCATTCATGACCTTGGAAAAGATTAGTATTCCTCAAAATGCCTTAAATTAATTTTTGACAAAAAACAAAAAAATAGATAACTTTATATTTTTTAACTCCCACTTTTTTTCTTTCAACATAATTTAGTTCACTTCATTAGCAAAAGCAAGAAGAGGCATGTCTGTCAGTTTTATGAAATGTTAAAATCTTCCACATGGTACCTCACCCTCAAACTCTGGAGTTCATTTTGCGGCTTTCAGCAAACTGGGGTTGGAGAACAGGTAATAGAATATAAGGGAACAGGTAATGTGCAAAAAAGAACCTTGAAGAGATTGTCGGCATGAATCCAAGAGTTATCAGATATCTTTCCTTTCACATTCATTTAACAAAGTGATTTTAAAATCATTCATGCACAAGAAAAATAGAAAATACTGAAAAGAATTAAATGAATATTTTCTCTTCCGCCAAAACAAACATTTTATAAGATTCTTTTATTAGAAAAGGATCATACACAGGCTGTCTCTACCAGTGTTAAAAGAAGATAGTGTCTTTTATTAGAAAGATTTTGAGCATGGAGTATCAATGGTACTTTAAAATCTTTTATTAGGATAAGGGTGTCTTCAATGGTATTTCAAGTTGATTGTTTCTTTTGATAGTATAAGGTTTTCTACAGGGTGTCTTCAATGGTATTTCAAGTTGATTGTTTCTTTTTACAGTATAAGGTTTTCTACAGGGTGCCTTCAATGGTATTTCAATTTGATTGTTTCTTTTGATAGTATGAGGTTTTCTACAGGGCATCTTTAATGGTATTTAGGTGGTGGTGTCTTTTGTTAGAATTGTTGTATACCCACATCTCTACTGAGCCAAATAAGCAAAATGTTGTATACTCTTCCTTGTTTGAAGGGAGTGTTGGTTGATGGAGTTGATTCCATAACATTGTATCTTTTCTTGCTCGTCTTCTCCCAGCCAGGTGTTTGAATGTTTTTGGAGTCTGGAGATGAAAGAGAACTTCAACAAAAGCGATTTTAAACTTATCTATTTTCTTAAACAGGTTGATTTGTACAATTTTAACTAACGAGTGGAGTCACACGAACACACCCACTGGGGAGCAAGTTTCCTGAGACATGAAATAACCACATCTACTGTGTAAAACCTTAACTCACTGGAAACACTATCTCTCTAACGTTCTCACATTCAGCTCAGCCAATCAAAATCAACATCCCTATTTTGTTTACCATCTGACCTTAAAGGTCAAATTCAGATGGTGGGAGCCAAAATACACTGCCACTAAAAAAAACATAGATAAGAAGAGATGCATATATATATATATATATATACACACACACACACACACACAGTGTACCAAATTATTATTGAGATAACTTTTTTCTAATATTTCAAAAACCGTCCAATCAATTCACACAAAATTTTCACACAATGTTGCCAATACTGACCTGTGCAATCACTGAAAACACTGATCTGCGCAATGTAAACAAACTGGTGCCATATTTGAGCATGCCAAATTATTAGAAAAGTGTAAGAAAAGATGGGCCATAAAAGCAGTTTAAGTGATGCTGAAAAGAAAACTATCACCTCAGAACTCTCAAAAGGTAAATCTACCCTAGAAATTTCTAAAATAATATGGAGGTGTCATCAACAGTGAAAAAGTTCACTGCTGACCCTACACAAGTACGCAAAAGGGCAGATAAAGGCAAGCCGAAGGTTATTTAACGTCATCTCATGTCACGACTTAAATGAGAAGCCACGAAGAACCCTGGACTTACCAGTCAAGAGCTTTTCAGTTGCATTGGGGATCCTACTGTGTCTAAAAGTACTTAGTGTCAGTATCTGAGGGAAATAGCAACAACAGTCAAACCTGTATCGAAGCCTCTGTTGACGAGAAATCACATTCAAAATCGATTGAAATGGGCCAAGGACAATATGAAGATTGACATCTCTAAAGTTTTGTTCACAGACGAAACTTGAGCAACACTTGATGGGCCAGATAGATGGTGCAAAGGCTGGGTAATGAATGGACAGAATCGCCATCAGCGTTTGAGACGCCAACAAGGTGGTGGAGGCATAATGATCTGGAGTGGTATTATTGGAAAAACATTAGTGGGCCCATGGAGAGTACCAGAAGGCGTCAAAATGACTGCTGATGTATACATAGCATTTATGAAGGAGCATCTTGAACCGTGGATGAAAAGGCAAAGAGTTGCCTTCAGAAAGGCCATTCTTTTTATGCAAGTAATGCTCCCTCACATGCTGCTCAACAGACTACTGAATATTTGAAACAGTTAGGCTTCGATGGACCTCGAAAAATGAAGTAGCCAGCAAATTCTCCGGATTTGAACCCAATTGAAAACCTTTAGAGCATCATGAAGCAAAGACTGTACACCAATGGATGACAACTCAGGAGCAACGCTGAGTTGTGGGAAGCAATTCTTGACATATCTCGCGGCATTACAGCAGATGACATCCTACAATTAACAAATTCTATGGATCATCGACTTCGAGTAATTTCAAAACAGGGAAAGCTCATTCCCTATTAATTTGTTTAAAATTGTGCCTTTGTTTGTATCTGTTTTTATTTGTTTGATTATCTTATTTATTAGCTTCTTTTGATCATAAACATTCACGTGCAACATTAATAGACGTTTTGTTTGCTCAATTCTGGGAATTTTATTAAACCTTTCTAATAATTTGGCATGCTCAAATCACCATGCTGATAACAAATATGGCACCAGTTTGTTTACATTGCGCAGATCAGTACGAAAATTTCAGTGATTGCGCAGGTCAGTGTTGGCAACATTGTGAAAATTTTGTGTGAATTGATTGGACGGTTTTTGAAATATTATAAAAAAAGTTATCTTGATAATAATTTGGTACACTATGTATATATATATATATATATATATATATATATATATGAGCAGATGCAAAGATAGATATGAACAGATGCTAAGGTAAACTGATTAACAGATATGAACATAGGTTGACAGAGATATGAACAGATGCAGATATAGAATTATCAATATATATGACAAGAAGCACTGATAGATAAGAACAGATGCATAGAGACAAAGAGATAGACATGAACAGATGCTAAGTTAGACAGATCAATAGATATGAACAGATGCAGAGATAGAATTATAAATAGACATGACCAGATGCAGTAAGAGGTGATAACAAATACAGAGAGAGGTAGAAAGATAGATAAGAACAGATTCAGAAAGACAAAGATATATATGAACAGATGCAGAGATAGAGCAATAGATATGAACAGATGCAGAGATAGAGCAATAGATATGAACAGATGCAGAGATAGAATTATAGATAGATATAACCAAAAGCACTGATAGATAAGAACAGATGCATATATATATATATATATATATATATATATATATATATAAACTGATGCTAAGGCAGGTATGAAAGAGAGAGAGAATTATACAGATGCAGTTACAGATATGAATAGAAACACAGAGAGAAATATATAAACATATGTAGATATACATAAAAAAACATATGCAGAGATAGAATATCAATTATGAACAGATGCAGAGATACAATTATAGATATATATGAACAGATACAGAGATAGATATGACAGATGTAAACAGATGCAGTAGTAGGTATGGACAAATGCTAAGTTAGATCAATAAATATGAACAGGTTTGCAGAGATGCAGATACAGATGTAGAGGAAGATATGAACAGATGCAGTGACACCTAAATAGGTATGTGGAGATGCTGTGACTGATATAACAGATGCAGATAAATATGATGCTGAGAGATATTTATGGACAGATGCAGAGATAGATATGATCAGATTGCAGAGGTGAACAGATGCCAAGTGAGAAATATATGAACAGGTGAAGATACAGACTTGAACATCTGCAACAATATAAAAACAGAGAGAAATATATATGAACAGATGCAGAAAAAGACAGATATGAACAGATGTTGGGAAAGATATGAACAGATGCTAACATAGACAGATCAATAAATATGAATATATGTAGAAATTGAATTATGGGTAGATATGAACAGATGTTGAGATAGATAAATGTAAACAGATGCTAAGGAATACATATGAACAGCTATGGACATATGCAGAGATAGAATTATAGAGAGATATGAGCAGTGAAATACCTAAATAGGTATGTAGAGATTGAGACATACATAAGGTAGATATGAACAAATGATAGATGCAGTGATATATATGAACAGATGCAGTGGTAAATAAATACAGTGACAGTGGATCTCCAGGGGAAAAAAAAGGAAGAATGAAACAAAATGAAAGACGATCCAGAGAAAGACCGGAACAGATGCAGAGATAGATATGAACAGATACAGTGACAGTGGATCTCCAGGGAAGAAAAAAGAAACAAAATGAAAGTCGATCTCTAGAAAGAAAGAATGAAATGAATTGAAAGACAATCCAGAGAAAGACAGTTAAGAACAGATGCAGAGATAGATATGAACAGATGCAGTAGTAAATATGAATACATGCCGTAACAGTGTTTCTCCAGGAAAAAAAGGAACAGATGATTAGTAGAAGGAAAGAAACAAAATGAAAGTGGATCTCTAGAAAGAATGAAATGAAATGAAGGATGATCAAAATAAAGGAATGAAATGAAAGATAATCTACGGAAAGAAAGAAACAAAATTTAATATGTTCTCTAGAAAGAAAGAAAGAAACAAAATGAATGATGATCTAAAGAAAGAAATGAAATGAAAAATTATCTATAGAAAGAAAGAATGAAAGAAAACAAAAGATGATCAATACAAAAAAAGAAGGAAACCAAACGAGTCATGATCTATAGAAAAGAAAGAAATTAAATGAAATGAAAGAAGTGAAGGAAATAATTACAGGAAGAGACTGGGAAAAATGAAAGAAAAAAATATAAAAGCAATACAAAGAATAAGAAAAGGCAAATATTTTTTGAAGTTTAAAAAAGATTTTTATAAAAACAAAAAATAATAATAGCAATAAAAAAGAATTGGATAAAAAAAGAAAGTTAGACAAAAGAGAAAAAAAATTCACAAATTAAGTAAAAACAAGATGAGGAGTGAGAAATAAAAAAAAATAAGAGAAAAAGATAAAAAAAAACACTAAAGAAAAAAAAATTCAGTCTTTAAGAGCTGCAAAGAATTCTTAATTTGATCTGAAATTCTCCCAATATGTGACATTTTTGCAATTCTTTTTTGCCCAATGTAATTGTGCCTGTCTACCAATGAAATCTCATTCAAACTCCCTAGGCACTAAAAAACAGGATATGGTGGCAAAATATAGGCTCTTGTTTTATATTAAATTTTGTTTTTTTCTTAAAAAAAAAAGAAGAGAATATAGAAAATTAAAGGAAAACAAGAAAATGGTTATGACAAGGGATTTTCAACTGGATTAAACTTTTCTCAAATTTCATGAGTCAACAGAGGAAACTTCTGCATCATATCTGTACCAACTGAAAAGTGTTCAACTATTTTATCTAGGTAAAAATAATCTGATCATATAAGACATGTTTTGAATGTAGTGCATCCTATCTATTTACACAGAAACCACATCAGATAACAGGAACACCTAGTTTTGAGCTACACTATAAGCCAAAGGTTTGCAACTACACTCTGGATGTATTAATTAGTAACTTTCATATCTTCTTTTCTTTAATGAACTCCTATTAAGCTAGGCTGGATATGTGTTGAGGTGTAATGGATAATGGAAAGTTAAGTTTGAATTCCAGTCAGGTTCGTTACATTCAGAAATAACCTTGGGAAAGGTATGAATCCATCTGTTCTTCTCCCAAGTATGGGTTGAATAGCAAGACAGACTGGGCCCTATAGCCTTGCTTGGCAACCAGTCTACCCCAAAAATGGCAACCTACTACAGGAAAATCTTGTACCTAGTCAATCATGAATAAAAAGAAACATGATTGCCCAAGCATGTATTACTGACAATGACTGTGCTCACATTCACTGTTTGGTCTATATAAATGTCCAGAACTTTAATATTCTCTTTGCTGGGAGCACAAACTATCAAATTTTTGCATCCCTAATATTTAGTAAAATTTGTTATTTTATTTTAATAAAATTGTTTTTGTTTTATATTTCACTGTGTATCTTTTGTTATGAGATTATCTCCATTAACTAAACCCAGCTAATCTTACATTTGCTGGTTAGTTTTGTCAAACTGAATCAAGGAGATATATAGAATTAGGTAAACCCAATTCTAATTTGAACTTCTTAGAGGTCAGCAAGCAAACAACATACCAATAAACCAGTCTATTGTTGCAAAAATATTTGAGTAAAATTAGCATTGGAAAAACTAACTCAGGCTTTCTTATCTGTTTCTTTTTTTTTCAAATAATAGCAATATATTAAATTCAAGTGGATTTTATATTCTTTGAATTTTTATTACATTTTAATGAGACAAATATATAAATAAAAGTATTTCTCTTCTAATCCAAAATTATATGAATGAAAACCTTTTAAAAAATTAATCACTTTAAGAATTTATAAAATATAAAATTTGAATTTCTGTACATTCTTTGAAAGCAATATTCTTTCCATAGATTAAAAAAAAATAACTCCCTCAAAAAGAATTCAAATTTATCTTTGAATAAAACAGCTGGTATTAGCAGTAAATAATTTTTGAGTATCACTGATTTTATAAGCCAAAACTAAACTTAGTGATCTTTGATGTGAAATCTCTTAGAGTAAAACTGACAAGGTTACTAAATTAAATTACAAGTCAAATTATTAGTAACCCATGCTCACTGTAAGATATGCTATTAATTATAAAAATAAAAATACAATTAGAGGGTTAAAAAAAAACTCCAGTATTAATTATAGGATTACAAAAATCCAGTATTAATTGTAAGATTATAAAAATTGGTTGGTTGATTTTGTTTAGTGTTATATCAAGACCTCTATGGGTTCTTTAATGCTGAAATCTAAATATCTTGTATTGTCAGTTACATATATTTTGAATACAATTTTATGCTTTTTTCTACATGTAGTTAGTCCATAATTTTATACTTTCTGGGTAAATGTGTGTTTTTTACATACATAGTTTGCAGATGATAAAATGTATTGTTGGTAATTTAAAAAAATCTATTGCTGATAATTTCACTTCAAAAATGTAGTGTTAGTGATTTTACTATAAAAAATGTATTTTTATACTTTTTTAGTGTTGTACTGATTGTTTTTTGATATAAAAATGTATGGTCAGTATTAATTATAGGATGACAAAAAATTCAGTCATATAGCATTATAAAGAAACTGGTATTAATTATAGGGTTATAAAAATCCAGTATTAATAATTATTACTTATAATATAAAAAATCCAGAATTATAGGATTATAAGGAATCAGGTATTTCTGTAGGCTCATAAAAAATCTATATTAATTATAGGATTATATAGAAATTGTTAACAATTATAGGATTATGAAAATCCAGTATTATAGGACTATAAAGAATGCAGTATTAATTATAAGATTTTAATGAATCTGGTATTAATTATAAATTTATAAAAAAACATGTATTACTTAAAAATCCAGTATAAAGAATCCAGTATTATAGGATTATGAAACTGTTGCTGTACTTATAGGATTATAAAAATCCAGTGTAAATTATAAGTTTCTAAAAAATTCAGAATTAAAGGATTATAAAATATCTTATTATTTAGAGGATTATAAAGAATCCAGTATTAATTATATAATTATCAAATGTCTGTCATTAAAAGTGATGCCAACAATACCAAAGACTCAGTGATGGCTGCTATTGGAAACTTCATGACTAACATAAATAAAGAACATCTAATTAATGCATGTAATCTTTTTAGATGCCACACTGAGGCTGTAATCAAAGTTGAATAGATTTAAGTTTTGTGCATGTATGTAAGACCTACTCAGTTGTGATGAAATGTTTCTTGCTTTGTTTTAAAGGTATTGAATAATATAAGCAAGTCTTTCTCTATTAAAGCTATGAGAGCTTGGTCAGTGGAGAGATCAGTTTTCAGACTGTGGTCATGTAGATTTTGCTTGATTTTGTGATGAGACATTCTTTAAGCAGATTGATTGATTTGCATTTTATGGCTTATCAGCAGTTTTTTTTTGGGGGGGGGAGATTTAAAATGTAAACATTTTGGGGGATTACAGAATAATCCATATTTTTTTTTTGCAAGTGAATGCTGCATTAACAAATTGTTTTGAGATAAATGATCTTCCCAAATACTAGTACTATTTAACCCATAGCTGGGGAGAAAAGAGATAGATTCATAATTTTCCCAAGAGTAATTGTACAGTGGTAAATATAACAAAATTGACTGGAATTAAAACTCGGTTCCTTCATTTCTCATTCTGAGTTGCCATTTGTGTCATAGTGGGTAAGGAAAGTAACCCACTTTTCTATGATGGCATTTTGTCTCCTTAAGTAAATAAAGATAAAATATAAAAAGGCAATAATAAACATTTAAGAACGGATGCCAAGATGTTTGTTGATGTTTCTGCATTTTGATACACAAGTTTTGGGTGGGTAAAAAATGCATCCAGTCTCTGTGCACATTCTAAATCAGTTTGCTTTGTGTTGTTTGAGTAGAAAAATGTCTGTGAAGAACTTAAGTGGAGAAAGAGTTTAAAGAAGAGAGAGAAGGCAAAAAAAACACTTCTGTGGTAGGGCTTTGAGGGAAAGAGAGGCAGAAGAAAATATGGAAAAGAGAGAATATGAAAGCGAAAAGAGAAGTGATGAGAATAGAAATAGGAGGTGGGGGGGGTCAGAAAATAAAAGATTGTTGAGAGTGAGGTGGCGAAAGGAAGGGAGAAACATAAGAGTTGATGGGGGAGTAAAAAGAATAAAAAAAGAAAGAAGAAAAATGAGAGAGAAGAAAAAGAGAGATTAAAGCTAGCTAGCTTCCAAGATATGAACAGACTGAGGTTGGTTGCTTGCTAGCTAGCTAGAAATAAACAAGTTGAGGACAATAGATACAGAAAATTTGACAAAGATAGGCAAAATGACAAAAACATTTTTAAATAGGTAGATAGACAGAAACAGACTGAGGAAAATATTCTTAGGTGTCTAATACGGGGTGGGGACCTTAATAAAAGGGCGGTAAGTGGAAAATCATTTAACCCTTTAGTATTCAACACACTCAAACCTACCCTGTAAAAATTGACTCTCAAAGTCTTTTCATATAACATCAGGACAACCTTCAAAAGCTTGATGACACTTCGCAGATATCTCTCCCGAGTAAGACCCCCATAGAGGAGAACATGACTAAAGACTGTGTATACGCTATCCCGTGCAGCTGCAGAAAGGAATATAAAGGAGAGACTGGCCGCCCCCTCAAGGTAAGGCTTCAAGAACACCAGAAAGCTGTAACATGAGGGTAAGTGGAAAATTCAGGTGTGGCTGACCATATATGGAGAGAGAAGGGAGCTCACTGCCCTCTGTGGGATCATGTTGAGATCATAGACAAGGAACACCATTGGAAAATTCGTAAACTTAAGGAATCAGCACATATGCTAGGCCACAAAAATCTCCTGAGCCGACCAAGCATAGAAATAAATACAATATGGGAACCAGTAATAAGGAGTGCCAGAGAAAAGCAATGATAACAACAAAGTTGCAATATCAGCTCTGGTAAAAACATGCAATGATAACAGCAAAATTGCAATATGAGCATTGGAAAAATGGTTGCTGAAGACATTAGGTTTATAATACCCAGAAATTCATACCCAGAGTGTGAGTTCAATACCCGGTTAACGCAGTGGAGAAATTTCAGAGGGAAATTAACAGGAGATAACTGATAACTGACATCCATCAAACATGGCACGTGGAACTAGAACAGTCTACCCCAGTGAGTGAAATAAAGGGTTAAGTTCGACATTCCAACCACCTGAAGAAGGCTGGAGCGTACAACGGGCGAAACATTGTTATGAATATGGTGACAAAGATGAGGACAATAGTCTGAATAGTGTGAATAATGTCTTTCTGTTTGTAGTCAAAGTCTCATTGTTTGCCTGACTTCTTGCATTATTTGTGTGGTGAACATGTGTCAGTACAAACGTAAAAGAAGCTCTGAGTTGTGTGCGGTCATATCTGTTAAAACTAGTTACATCCGGGTTTTCCCCATTAGCGACAGAACATCTTGCCATGTCGAGATACAGGCCTCTCTGCAACTTGTCCACATTAGAGTCTTTATCAGCTGTCTCATGCCAATAAAAGTGACAGGAAAACTAGTTGTGAACAGTTGGCAAGACTCAGTGTCTTGTGAAGTCATTCCCTTGAGCATTTTGTTCCTGTAGTTGTCATGCTCTGAGGCAGTGTTATTGTGTTTCCTCCTGTCTCTTTCCCTTTTCTCTCACTGTTACCCCATAGTTCTTGGGAGAGCAACAGGTTAGGTGTTTCCCCCAACATCGACACACCTTTGCTATATTTTACAACAATTTGTGATGATTTCAACATATATTATGGCAGATTGAATTTTGAAAACTGATATTTACAGGCATGGGGGTGGGTTGAATACTAAAGGGTTAAAGAGTAAAAAATTTAGAATTTATGTGAAGAAACTATTTTTTTGGGGACATCAAATTATCAAATCGCAAAATGAAAGTTGTCTTGAATGGCCACTCTTCTAGATCTTTTTGTACTAATATAGGTATTTCCTAGAGCTTCATCCTTGGACCTACTTTGTTCTTAATTTTCATCAATGACATTCCTGATGATATCAGTTCTCAACTTGATGACACAACCATTTACATTTATGGGGACAATGAAAGTTGTCCTGAATGGCCACTCTTCTAGATCTTTTTGTACTAATGCAGGTATTCTCCCACATGGCACAACCATTTACTCATGTCTTGATAGTAAGTCTGATCAGTTTGATAAGAGCAATTGAAGAACAACCTACAATCTGTTGTTAACTGAGGCAGGTAATGGCTTATTAATTGTAGTGCCTCCAAAATGAAACTACTCTATTAGTTTGATTGATTGGTATTTTGGGCTGTTTTAATTTAAATGTCATCATGCAAATTTTAATTTGTAATAAGTAAATATATAGTACCTTAAGAATTAAGATTCATCAGGATATTAAAACAGAAAAAGTGAAATTTTCACAGGTTAAAACTCAAGTAAAAATAAAATCAATGAAAAGATGAATGAATTTAGCATATAGACACAAACTTGTTTAACAACTCCTGCCAATACCTCATAAATAATTGACTATTCTATTTTGATTGTGTGGAAACAGAAGAAAAGACACTACTTGGTTTCAGTGAGAAAATGAATGAAAGAAAGAAGGAAAAATAGAAGTGTTTCATGGGTGTTTTAGTGAAATGGAAAACATTGTCAATTTCAAATCTTTTCATTTGTACCCACTTCTTAAAATAATGACTAGCATTCATATATATGATTGTTATTGCAATATTTTGTTAAAGCCAAATATTTAACAATGATAAAACTTCTATGGATATTTTATTTTCATAGAAATCATCATGTGCTTATTCAATCATTACCCCTTTGAGCTCTGACCACCACTTTACCAGTGACAGAGAAAAATGACGTCATGCCCAGCCATCTTTTGAACATTGGTAGAAAAAAATGACTTAATGTCCAGTCACCGGTTGAACAGTGGGTAAACACTTGTAATTATTTTTTTATATCTACCATGAAACACTACATACCAATTATTTAACTCAGGAGCCCAGGCAGATGGGTTAAAATTGTTCAGGAATGCAAGGCTCAAAGGACTAATTGAAGAATTAAGATTCATCAGAATTTTAAAATAGGAAAACTGACATTTTCTAGTTTAATACTATTGTTTCTTGAGCTTATATTAAATTGGAAACACCCTAATTCATGTTGACTTTCTTGATTGATAGTATAACAGTTTCAATTTAAACGTCATGGTGCAAATTTTAATTTGTAGTAAGTAAATATATAGTGACTCGAGGTGGGGATGCAAAAATATATGTACCTATGTATTTAGAGGTACCAAAAATGGTAGAACAACTAAAGAAGGAATAAACTAAAAGGCATTGGTGAAAACAGGAAAGCCAATGAAGACAAAACTGTGACAAAGAGAATGAGAGGCAAAAAGAGAGTGCAATGTAAGATGCAAAGGGAGAAAAGAGAGTTTTGTATGTCAGATAAGGGGGAGAAAGAAAAGGAGGGAATTGAAAGTTCATTCTTTCTTTCTTTTTTTTATTTCTCATTGGTGAAATCTAAGGTGCATGATGGGATAGAATGTTTGGTTCAGTGCTGTATTATTTGGAAAGTTCATCTTGTTTATTAACTAAAAGTAAAAAACAATTTTTTTTTCTTTTTACTTTGGACATTAACTTTATTTGGAAAACATACTTGCTTTTTTGTTCCACTATTCTCTGCAATCTCTGAAGCAAATTTATAACCCCATCCTTACAGAACGTTTTGTTATCTTTCTCTGTAAAGAATTGCTTGAGGTGCCTTTTGCAATCTTCCATATACTTTCATTTTTTTTTCATTAAGACAATTCTATTATGACCAAAATTAAACAGAAGAAGGGAAACTTCCAACCAAGCTGTAGCTGTTTTTGCTTGGTCACTCAAGAAATGTGCGATCTTGCATTATCTTGATGAAATATTATATACTTTCCCAGAACTATTCTTGGACACTTTCTGTCTTTACTTGTCCTAATTGGAATCAATACATGTTTAACACTTAAATGTCAAGAAAGTGTAAGAGTAATGTACACACCAAACATGTAAAATCAAGAAAATTAGTTTTTTTTTTTTAAGTGTATACTATAATTAATATAAGAAGACTAATAATTTTGATAGTTTTTTTACTCCTTAAACTTTTTCATCATTGATAAGTTCAATTTGATCATAATGGATCATATGCAATGCAGGTGAATAATTCAACTAGAAAAATTGGAAATTAATACAATGTACCAAAATACAAATAGGAGTGTCATTGTATCTTAAAGAAATCAACAATGTTTTGTGGTAATTTTTAACACCAACATGAGATTTTTTTATCAAAAAGTAGAAGAATTTTGAGACATTTAACATTATACATAAAAAATAGTGAATTTTATGTAGTGTTTTTTTTTTAAGGAAAAACAAGTTCACAGATTTGGCCAGAAAAAAAAGGATCCCAGAATGATATCTAAATCCGCAAAAATGTTTCATCCTTTAATCATCAGTTGGGCTTCATTTAATTTGTAGCATATATAAATGTAGGATGTAGAAAATTAATATATTTGAAAAAATATATGGGATATTCAGGGTGAAATCCATTGTTTAATTCTCAAGCAGGAACTCATTCTAAGAGGATTCTCTTCCAATTTCACTAAATAGACAGAATCACCTTGTTTGGATAAAAAACAGTCTTTGGTAGTTTATTTGGCTTTACCATCTCTTGAGTTTCATATTGTTGTAAAATATCTACTTTTCATTGCTTGTCTCAATTTATTTCAGCAACTGAACAACTGCATCAAGTTGCTGATGCTGTCTGTTATTATTTTCCCATCCTTTCAGAATATTTTATATCTTAAAGCAAAAAACTAGTCAAGGTGAATTTTACAGTCTTCCAGGGATAGAATTTTATTTCATTCAGAGAATTCCCTCAAGACTGAAATAAATGGTAATCTGAAAGTGCAATATTTGGTGAAAATGGCAGATAAGTGAAAACTTCACAATGAAGATGTGATAATTTTTGTCTGGTGACTAAAGAAATGTGCTATTTTCAATGAACATTATTTTGAATCTTTCAAATACTAGAACTGGTCAAAAAGTCATGCCTGATTTTTTTGTAATTCCAGACACACATCTTTTGTTGATTGCTACCTTCAACTGAACTAATTAGGAGTGGTACTTGTTTGAATCATTCGTTTTGGCTAAATTTGATAATCTATGTATTTTTATAACAATAATCTGTGGTGGGTACAAAATTTTGGTAGGGCTTTAAAAAATTATATATAACCATGTACAAAAATATATAAAATAAAGATGGAGGAGGAGTGAAGACAAAGAAAAAATACTCACTATGAACTAGTGCATCAAGAAATATAACAGTATAAAAGGGGTTAACCAGTTATTGCTCCTCACTCTGCAGAACTAATCAAAGATATGTCATAGAAATCTGCTTTCATATCCAAGATTATTACTTTACTATTGCATTAGCAGAGGCAAGTGTCACAAGTGATTATTAATGAAAATCATGGATATGTTCTGACTTACATAGAAATTCATGTTTCAACTCATTGTAGGAATGAGACTCTGTCATAAGTCAAGGACCCCCAGAATTTTGTGTTTTTTTTTTCCCAACTAATTATTATTAGTTTGAACTGATGTGGAACAAGACTTCAAAGACTCATGATAGTCTTCATGAATGAATTGAAAATCTGAGTGAGGTAGAACAAAACCACCCAGATGATAACATTCAATTAGAATACTGTGTGTTACCCGACTTGGCTTTGGCAAAAACACTGATTAGGGTGGTGCTGTTTGGTTCTATAAAAAGTGAAACATTTCCTTCATGTTTATCTTTTCTCCTCTTGTTCTCTGATACAGTCACATGGAGGTAAGGTAATCCTGGTTATGATGACAAACTACATCTGGCAGCAAGGCTTCTGATCAGGAGATTGGAGGTTTTGAGGAGCATGAAACCACCTCTTAACTGTTGTTGTTCCCAGGTCTAAATAGACCCAGGGTGGTAGCAGGGTTAGGGTGCCAACTATGGGCAAATAGTGACCCTCCCGCCAAAAAAAAAAACACTATGAAAGTATAAAAATACATTTTTATAGTAAAAATATCAGCAATACATTTTTATATAGTTACCAACAATACCTTTTTTGTAATAAAATAACCAGCAATACATTTTATCTGTAGTTGAAGGTATACAATTGCATTCAAAATATTTAGATTTCAGCATTAAATAACCCATAGTGGTTGATCTGGCACTAAACAATATCACTCAATCAACCAATGATCCAACATAAATAAAGTGTCCCCCAGTGAGGCATGTTCATTTTCGTGGACTTCTGAATTCTCTCACCCATTATGTTTTGGGATTCTATGATATTCGGGTATAAATAAGTCACCACTTTGTAGTGAGAATCAACAATTTTGATATGAGTGTGTGTACATTGAATAATAAATATTTACAGGCACCTAGAACATTTGTCCTGCAAACAATATTAGCAGACTTATTTGAGTCCAGGTAAAAATAAGAACAAAGACAATGATTACCTGTCTATATTTCTGATATGAGGTATTGTAATTATTTACACTATTGACATTGTTCAGACTGCAAAAAGTGTAAATAAAAACAATGAATTTAAAACAAACAGCAATTATATGCATATGTGACACTATTTAGCTATGGTAATTGGCTAACTAATTAACCATAGAAATTAAAAACAGGAAAGATTTAAGGCGAGAAAGAGCTATATCAAAAGATAGACAGAGTGACGTGAAAGAGAAGATTTTTTATTTTATTTACGGAGAAAGATACTTTTTGCATGAGACAGAAAATCCGTAAGGAAAAGCGAGATATGAGATTCTGTCAAAACTGATTAATGTCATGGTAAGGGAATGATGCACGAAGGGAAACAGAATTCAGAAAGAAAAACAAAGACTGGCCAACACATAGTGGTCATAAAAAAAATTTGGACGACCACAATATAGGCAGAGAGAATCGATATTAGTTATCTTTCAGAGATATCATTTAATTTTGATTCCTGGGAAGGGAAATCATCTGGTATGTGTTAGAATTCTGGCACGAGGAAGAGAAATCGTAGAGGAAATTATTATTATTACTTTTTCAAACTGTTGACGTCAGACACAGTGTTGTCGAAAATGGGCATCTAGTGATAAAAGGATTTTAAGGCATGAGAAAAATAAAGAATTTGATTCTCAGGTAAAATAGGGACCCCGCCCAGTTAAAAGTTGACTTAGCAGACAAGCCTGATGTCGGGTTTTGACAGTGACTGATAAATTGGTAGAGAAACCTGACTAAGTGAATTTTGGGTCTCTCCAAAAGAAAGATGTGATAAGAATTATTTGGCAATCTGGGGTTTGTGAAAGAAAATGTTTTGGCCGAAGGAAAAAAGAAAAAATGGATTTTGTAAACAAAATTCTGGATAATAATTTTAAGAGGGCCACTCTAGCCACACCCACACTGCTGAGAGATCATTGGTCAAGTGGTAGCATAGGTGATAGGCGGAGGTGAATGTATGAGAAAGACGGAGAAGTTGTTAACACCCACTGAGGGGATTGGTATGAGATACCAATGTGAGAGAGGAAGAGTCTAGGAGGATAACTCTCCTCCGACCTTCCACCAGGGAGGAGGGAGAAACCCCTGAAATGGAAAGTGATTGATCTTCCAAAAATGGGAAGTAATTAATTTTCCTGGCCTAAGAACAAAGAGAATTTTTGTTGGGAATCGAGAATTATCAAGGAACCCAAACCACGTCAGGCCCCACACCAGGTTTTGGTCGGTACCTATATAAACGAACGTCCCGGGCAGTTTGGCAGTTGATTCGCAGTTGGAGTTGGAGTTTAGTTCCCGACAGAGTCAGAGTGTTGCCTCGCAGAAGATGACTGAGAAATTCCATGCCCTTTCGACTTCAACTTCCTACCAAAAGCAAATTATATTGAGGAATGACTTAAGATACCAAAAACTCGCTTAAGAAACGCAAAAGTGTCACAAATCCATAGAAATGGGCTGGGAGAGAAACACACTCCTGTATATAACAGACGGATAAAGATAATTTGTTATTTCTCAACATATTTGAACCTCTTGAGTTTTGTTTTATTGCTTCTTTTACTTACGCTTGTGCGATATCCCCTTCACCCCAGATTCAGCTTGCACTACGGCCCAATGCCTGATTGACTTTGTCCATTTCATAATGTGTGACATCATTTGTTTACATTTGGATGTGCTTTGAGCAGATATGAATGTACGTGAGAGATTCATAGAAGATGGAAGTTTAAAGACAGTAAATTCGACCTTGCTAACTGAACGCTCCTCTGTGGCCAAAACGGTTAAGTCATGTAAGACTATATGATGGTTCCGTATAGGATACAGGTTCAAATCCTGTTGGAGGACGAATATTTTTATGAAAATTTCTCCGACATTCAGGCCAGTAAATGTTATTAATACTGTTTATTATAAAAACAGAGCATTTACTTAAATATTTGTATCTATAAAAAGAATGGTTCCATATAGG